AGTGTGCAAACATTTCAAAATCATGAGTTAAAAAACGCTGACTATGAGAGTATAAATATTAGAGCCTAACAGAGCGGAGCGGAGCGACGCGACGCGGCGCAGCCAGCGCGAGAGGCGCCTACAAACCTAAGTGGATACTTCTCGCATTGCACAATGCTTGAAGTATCCACTTAGGTTTGTAGGCGCCTGTGCGCGCTTCGCGCTGGCCGCCCGCCAGGCCGTGCGGCGGCGCCAGAAGCAACTATTTCACAACAGAGGTGTTGCACAGTATTATACGATATTGAACGTATCAAGAATGACAGGCATCCTTTAAAGGTACAGATCTTTCCTCGCAAAATAAATCAAGATACTTATCGTACACAGGAAAAATGTAGGAGCCTTTCGCTGAGGCAAATCAAGAGGTTTATTCGGTTCAGGTATAACAAGGTGGGAATTTCTTAAAAGATAATTAAGTCCTGTTGCACCAAAGAGGTGTAGAGAGTTTTAGTGAATTTTGTCTCATGGAATTGACGCTCCCCCATTTTAGCAATATTATTCTCCGTTGGACCAAACAAACAAAACAAAAAACAAGCAAACCCTCATTCTTCCAAGACATTATACATTTTCATCCAAAAACGTCGTGAGCAATGGACCACTAGACATGGTACGAATTTAAGCATTCTGATACATGTTTTTTAATCAGAATTTCACGGAGAACACGATTTGCGCAACGAAAATTACTGATACTAACTCCTGACGAAGATATTATCCTTTTTATTTCACATTGGTTACGCGGATTTTGAACTGCCCGGTCACAAGAAACTCAAAGCTCTACGTGAGTCAAATCGCGCTCTACAACAGTTTCAGCAAGCCTCTCAATCGAGCACTGTTCATTTCCCACCATATGTTGTTCAAATTATAAGCAATTTGCTATAGCTGAGCCAAAGCGTCAAAATTGTGGTTGCCAGATTTTCATATCGCAGAGACTGTCACGATAATATTCAACGCGCGATGTGAATCACGTAGAGCATTGAGTTTTATTGAGCGGGTGGTTTGAATTCACGCATCAGGAATCATTAAATATCTTCGTAAGGAGTTGATTTCGGTAATTTTCGTTGCACGAATCGTGTTCTGCGTGAAATTTTAGTCAAGAAACATGTATCAGATTGCCTTAATTCGTACCTTGTCTAGTGGTCCATTATTGTCGTTTGTATTTACATGTGGGCGAATTAACTTTGGGTCTCAACTGGCACGTGGACCAAAACTCCCCTGCCGAAAAAACGCGTGGACGTAAATTACTGGAAAAAACAGGTGCGCGGACAAAAAATCGTCGACGAAATGTCCTATAACCCTACAATATGCGCTCCTGTTCGAGAATTTTTGTGAAACTTGGTGTCACAGGGTGTTTTAAGGCGGGAAACTTAAATTTCAACTCAAATTCTCTAGATTCGAAAATCCAACATGGCGGAAGTGACCTTAAATTTTGAATACGAGTCAACTGCACGCGACTTTGGGCTTTGCGTATAAAAATTCTTGGGCATCTGAGGGTTACATATCCTCGCACTTCAAATGTAGCCTCGGTTATAAAACTTTTTAATTAATACGGAATCTTTAAAATTAGCCCAAAAACTTATTCTGCCAAATTATTGGCATACCTGGTAGGTACTTATGAAAATAAGAAACCATCCTGGGTTTATCAACAGATTTCTGAGTTTTCTTAATCGATGGTGAAATTCCCAAACCACGACCACGCATCTCGGTTTGCGATGTTGCGGAGCTATTCTGTCATACTTTATTTTTTAAACAAAGAACTACTCATTGTCGATTCTTGAAAACTTCCATGATTTTTCAACTCTCTGCGAGACAAATTTTGGAAAACGAGGAATGGTGTTCGGAATTTATTCGCCTTCGGAAAAACAAAACGGAAGCCAGAATTTTTGAACACCGCGAACAATTCTTCCCAGGGGAGCGCGCGTTGTGTTAATGTTGCGCCTTTGGCATGAGGCACATGTTCTTGGAACTAATTCTGAGATGCGTGTTTCAAGTTCTACGTTTTTAGGTGACTCCCAGATTTTTTCGACCGGGTAACATATTTTGATATCAACTAAAAGGCATCAACTGCACGCCATTTTTGCAGCTAGCTCACAACTGTCAACAATCTAAATACGATAACTGGACTACATTTTGCAATTTGGACCTATAAATTCTGGCTCATCTGAAAAAACACTGATGTGCATAGGGAAACTAATGGTACATACGTTGTTTTTAAACCGGGCCGGAATTTATAAGTCCAAATTGCAAAATGCAGTCCAACTGTGCCTAATAAATTTGAATTGAAGAATAGTAGCATGGAACGCACTTAAATTTTGCCATCGAATTCACTGAACAAATAACGATCTAACTCGCTGTAATCTTTTAATTTATTTCGCTCTGAGTTCCGCGGAAAAGGCAACAAACTAACAGGGTAGCGTAAATATTTGGGTAGCTATTGGTTGACTTTGCGCCATTTTTTTATTTGTTCATTTTGTTTCTGGTTAATTTTCAAAATCATAATAGCAGTTCACTTTAAATTTTGTGAGTTTTGTCCCCTGCACATTATATGCTTGTCCATTACTTAAGCAAAGCGTTCCTCCGAGGTAATAGACATGAAAACACAAAATGTCCGTTCCGACAGTCACGTACAAGATGACCGGATACTACAAAATTCAAAGACTTTAAAAAGAGCAAGTATATTCAAGGACTTGAAAATATCTTGTAAAAATGTGAGTATACTCAATGACTTCTCGAGGCATCGCGAATTCTGTAGAGAAAAATTTAAGACGTACCTACTTAATATTCCTCCGTTTTCTTGGAAAGAAATTCGGCAACGACGTGAAATGCAGTAAGTTTGATCCTAGTTGAATCCGTCTACTTCATACTCACAAAAATCGCCTTCAAAAGCGGAAGCACGCAGCCCCCGAGACAAACGTTTGAATATTTGTCCCTGATTAGTAGTAGATCATCATTTTGAGATTGTCTTTTGGGGCACATCCAATTTTATTGACTTCAAATCTCCCTAAGCCTAGGTTTAAATATAGATGTTCTGCATCAAGGAAGTTGTAAATAGCCTCTGACAAGTGCGGATAGGATTCATGAATGCGATTTGAGGATGTTGGTAATCACACCAGAAAAGGGAGAAGAATGCCCACAGAGATAGAGAAGAATTTTTGTGGTGCCTATAGCATAAGGACAAGAGTTTGAGAAGCTCCTTTTTCAAATCGAAGACTCCTGAGTCTTCATTTTGTAAGATGTATCCTGAGACTCATCAGCCCGTAAAGCATTAATGTTTTGCCAATTATGCCAAGCTTTGATATCGGAAGGACCAGCTGAACTTCCTACTGGATGACAGGACTTCACCCAGAGTAAGTATTACTTTTCCAGTATTCCAAACAATGTTAAATTATGCTGGTTATAATTATTATCAAAATGTAGCTTACCTCCTCTCCAAGTAGTCATCTATGATTTCAATGGTCCCAGTTGTTTACTTAGCATTGGATTAGTTTGAATCTTTTTGAAGAAAATGAGTAATTATTAAAAAGATTAAGAGGACATTTCATACTTTAATTAAAACTGCTCATAATAGACAACATAAAGAAGCCAAGTGTCTGGTCTTCAGTGCAGTCCTCACAAGTATTGTGTTCATTTAATACTTCAAACCTCTGTCCAGGAAACACTTAAGGTGATTCGATGGACGCCATATTTTGCATCAGAACAGCATGCGATATATCGCATCAATTGGTTCTATCTTTCAGCAACTCGTCATTTTTCTCCAATTCTGAGATCGCAATTCTGTTGTCAGGAGACTAAAGCACTCACTTACCAATTTTAACAAAGAAATTCAACGTAATAAAGGCGTCGTTTTTTTAGAGAGAAAACATCGCATTCGATACTGATATCGAAACTGCACTCGAATGCGATATTTTCTCTCTAAAAAAACCACGCCTTTATTACTTTGAATTTCTTTGTTAAAATTAGTGAAAGAGTGCTTTAGTCTCCTGACAACAGAATTGCGATCTCAAAATTGGAGAAAAATGACGAGTAGCTAAAAAAAATGGAACCAATTGATGTGTTATATCGCATGCCGTTCTGACACAAAATATGGCGTCCATCGAATCACCTTAAGTGTGTTTCAGACCATAATGAATAATAAAACTAACTTCTTGATACAAAGATCAGATCAGAGATGTTGATCTATTTGGGGGAAATTCTTTAACTTGAAATGGGGTCTTATTAATCACAGAAAAGTCTTTGGATGATTGGTGCTTACAAAAATTCAAGTCAGCAGAAAAAATTGAGGTCTGACTAATGGTGGTAGACACTGCACAGGAGAAGCCTGGCATGATTTCCACCTTGCATTATTAATATTAGATGCAAGCATTTTGTACCGGTTGCTCAGGGTACACTGTTGATCAAATTGATGGTTTTGAGGCTGTGGCAAGTACAACTGCAGTAGATGACATCGAACACAATATTTTCAGAGGGTGATGTATCCATCCTTATTGGATTTGGAAACTTGATTTTTGGATGGATCTAGAAATTATTGCTAATACTGAAAGTTTCAACCGTAAATTAACTATTTTATGACTAGCCACACAGATCCATTGGAGTTCCAGTAAAATACTGAGAAAATCAGTCATTGCTTACCAGCCTCCGCCCCCCTACTACATCTTCTGATTTTTTCCTTCTGTAAATGAATTTATTATAAACCAAAAAATAAAAATAATTCATTGATCATATTATAAGAATAAAGTTACTTGGTTGATATGATTTCATTCTAAATATTGTTCAGCTCACATTTTCAGCAACCTGTACACCCATTCTGTGTTTAAAACTTCTCAGAGAAACAAAGTGCACCTCTTTGGATAAAATGTACAGATAAATATAGGACTCCTTGGATAAATGTAGTGTTTTGAACACCAGTGGTTCTCTTAAACCTAAAAATTTTCACTTAATATGTTAAAGTCGCAAAGATGAACTCAAACTGAATGCCAAATTATCACAAATTTAATTTCACTAATTCATAACATGATTTTCTTAATTGCTAAATATGATCACAATGAAATGATTCATTAGTAAAAATGTAATAGTGGATCTGATACCATAAAATTAAAGTCAAGCTGACTAGCAAATGAACAAATATCATGACAAACAAATACTTGATGACCAACTATTAAAAGCAGAGCAGAAAAAAAAAGTAAGATTGATAAATCTTCACTTTCAACACATAAAAAGAAAGAGGGGGAAAAAACCTTCTGATAAGCTGAAAAAAAGGTGCTGTGCAACAGCGACCGACTGGATTTTTTCAGGACATTGTCTCTGCCATAGATAGTAAGCAGGACTTCAAAGCGCGTTTCCTGAAGAAGACTCCCTTAATTCATTGAAATGAATGCAAAATCATTTTAAGCTTTCATGATCAACATTTCTCATTCCAAATTTTAAAATACTGTGTCAAAAGAGGTCCATTGTAAAAAAAATGTTAAATTTTCTATAATTTTGGAATGAGTGATTCTGAAGGATAGTGCTGACAATTCTGAACTGGCAATTGCTTCAAATTCTTTAAAGTACAGCTGAACTTTTAAGGATGAAAATTTCCTTCTTTTTTTTCTAGAATCATGTCAAATTTACTGAAAAAATGAAGGACATATTACAGTCTTGAAAAACGGCTGTATTTTTATGACTTTCCTTTTGCAAAAGCGAGATAAAATACATAATCAATTTAGTCAATATTCAAATTAAATCTCAAAGATTTTCTAATTAAAACTAGGTAAAACAAAACAGCATACCTGATAAAAAGTAAAACTGGTTAACAAATATAATATTTAAAGTAAACAACAAATAAATTGGTGAATCAAAGATATCAATAAAAAAAATATTTCATGAAAAATTACTCAGTCTTTGTCTACAAGGTAGCAACTTGAAAAAAAAAAAGAGATTATTCTTTGACAAAGCATTAACTATGAATTGAAATTTTCCACTTTAATTTTAAACTCTCTGACTGTGTCATCATCTCTAACAGTGTCATCATCTCTGACTGTGTCATCATCTCTAACAGTGTTATCATCTCTAACAGTGTCATCATCTCTAACAGGGTCATCATCTTTGATTTCTTCTTCCTCATTCAAATCGTCATCCTTCTCTTCTTGAGCAAGTAAAGAGTCCACATCTTTGTTTGGGTGGTGCTTTTGAATGTGTTTGACAGCATTCTGCTTGGTTTTGTAAATTTTATCACATTCTTTACATTTATACGGGCGTAAATTTAGATGCACTCGCTCTTGGTGAGATGTCAGATGCTGCTTTCTGGTGAAAAATTTTGAGCAAACATCACAACTAAACTGTTTGTTGTCACCATGCGCAGTGACTAAGTGAGATCTCAACTGCGTACCTTGTACAAAATTTTTTTCACACAACCCGCACTGATATGGCTTTTTTTCAGAATGGGTGAAATGATGCCGTTTCAAGGAAGCAACGCAAGAAAAATTTTTGGAGCATATTTCACAGACAAAAGGACGCTCAGACGAATGAACAGAATCCACATGTAAACGAAGTGCTGTTCGTTGCGTGTATGCTTTGGGACACTGTTGACATTTAAAAGGCTTTTCCTCTAAATGAGTAGCTGCATGTATCTGTAATGAGGATTTGCAGCTGTACGATTTACCACAGGTTTCACAAAACCATTCTTTTGACCGAGTGTGTGTTTTCACATGCCTCTTTAGTGTCAAACTACTGGTATATGCTTTCCCACAGACATCACAGGCATAAGCTTTTCCATCTATATGGGACTGCAAGTGAACTTTGTAATAATAAGGGTTCATAAATGCTTTATCACACTGTTCACAGGTAAAGGGTTTGATTCCATCATGTCCATCCATGTGCAATTTCAATTTCCGTTCATTTGCAAAACGTTTATTGCACACTTCACATGCTAGACAGTTTTCTAGATGGAGCTTCAAGTGTGATTTGTAACGCCTCCGAGACTGATATTCTCTTTTACAAACTGAGCAAGTAAAAATTTGTTTTTCCTTTGAATGTCCACGGACATGGTTTTTAAAATAGTAATAATCTTTGAAGTAACGATTACAAATTTGACATAAAAACATTTGGGGCTCTGATAAATTATGTGACAAAATGTGTTGAGCTAGCTCTTCTTCCAAGTCGAAAGAAAAATTACAGAACTTACATCGAAATGCCTTTTCAGCAACATGTACTCGAGAATGTTCTCGCAAGATTTCATCCTTCAGATATGCTTTATGACAAACAGGACATGCAAAAGGGGCTTGCTTTGCATAAAATGCTAAATGCTTCATCAGCCGGTCAATACTGCCAAAATCGGTTTGACATTTGTGACAGTATGAGGATCTCATGTTTTCTTCATTGTCCAAATTTGCTATTTGACTGAAAAATAAACAAAGTAATGTTATTGAATTTACCTCATCAAAGGCAAAGAAAATAAAAATTTTTGTACGACACCTTTCGGTCTATTATTTTTTAATTCCATTTTTGCAACCAACCAAAAAAAACCATTGACAAGCAATTTCATCAAAATGTTAGACAGAGTAATTAAAATTCTAAAATCAGATCAGATTAGATCAGCTCTCTGGCTGCTTTAGTTCAAAAGTTACAGTGCCAGTCTCATGGGACAACCTTTGTAAAATTTTGGGAGGTTGGAACTGATGACATGGTAAAAAATGCATTGAAAAAAAAAAGTAATAATTCATAGAAAAAACATTCTAAAATAACTTACTCGGTTACAAAAGCAGCACTAACTGGAGTGTCTTGGAATAGAGGATCTTCATCAGCTACTGAACCAGACTCGTTAGAATCGACATCACTCATAGCATCCAACTGCTCGTGAAATGAAAAAAAATGTATCAATAAAATTTACTCAAGAATAAAAGGAAAAAGTGAGTATCCTACTCTCATCCTAAAGCAGTCTAAACAAAACTCAGAGAAATAAGTAAAAGTTCTGCCATACATTCATGCTGTGCTGCCATTCACATTGTTATTTGCCAGTGCCACACAGATGACGATTTCTTTATTTGCGACAAAAACACAAAAAATCAGAGGGAAACAAGGCTAAAATCAATAGACATAATATGCAGGATGTTTTGGCTGGTCACCTGAGCCTTTATCAACCGCTAAAACACAAATAAAAAAATAAAACCAAGGCTAAAAAAACCACTTACTTTAAACGCCTGTGATCAGCCCATACGGAAATTAGGACTTGATCAGTCCTAATTTTTGTATGGGCTGATGACACGCGTTTAATGTAAGTGGTTTTTTTAGCCTTGGTTTTATTTTTTTATTTGTGTTTTAGCAGTTGATAAAGGCTCGGGTGACTAGCCGAAACGTCCTGCGTATTGTGTCTATTGATTTTAGCCTTGTTTCCCACTGATTTCTTTATTTGTCGGTATCATATTATTGAACAATTTTTTTCCATTGATACAAAAATTGTTTTCATTTTTTTGCATCATTTTCTTTGGTCTTGTTGACAAACATAAAATTTGAAAACATGGAAAAGAGAGGTAATATACTCTGAAGAAAATACTGATTTATTTATTTCTTTGAAGTTTTCTTGGCATTTTGATGGCCAAAGGGCGAAACCATGTATCCCCATTGCAGTGTTTCAATATTTCCAATCATTTTTTATTGTTTCAGAGAGAAACATGCCAATATTTTAGCTTGAACCTCGTACAGTATGCGCTGCTTACAGAGAAGAGAAATCAAAGAAATGTTTAAGAAATTACATTGGGTAACTTTCCAAAGAAAGAATAAAGTATGACAAGAAATCTGCCCTGTCGCAAACAGAGATATACTGTTTCATGCTTTGGTCATCTATAATAAGTTTTGCACTTCCTGTGTTCTCCTCAGTTTTATTTCTTGTCGACCTTATAGAAGGAACAGAGCTGGTGAGGTTTGCATGTACCACTATTTTTGTGCAAGACATACTATAAAACTCTTTTGAGGACTCAGTTCACAAGAGATTTTTCATGTAATGTACCACTTCCAACCGAGCTTGCTTCATATTGTAATTTTTTGTTCCCTTCAGCTAAGAGGATACAGTCTTTTAAGGCTCAATATATTCTGTTGAAGAAGCTCCTCACAGTCCTCACCACAAAAAGAAGCGATTATGTCTATCATTTAAGGATTGAAACAAAGGTTCAAACCAAGATGTATCAACACATGAATGAAACTTAAAGACAGCAAAGGCTTTTTACTTGCATTTGACCCTTGGCAGCCTCTTTTCAGATAAATAAATTAAGAATTATTCACTGGATTGCAAAACAAGGTCTAAACTTTGAAAAAAAAATATTCTTCTCGTCAAAATCTTGTGTGCCTAAAAAACAGTTCACTTGGCAAAACATTCAGAAATCGACTCCAGAACAGAATTCATGACACAGATCCAATGGTAATTAGATTATTTAAATGACTGCATTCGTGTATATTTTTGCCATTTAATGGATGTTTACTGTGAACACTTATATCTTGTGTAGAAGTTGATTTGCAGACTTTCCATTTCAAGATTCATTTTCTTCATGAAATTTTGAAGAGGAAATGTGTTGAATGGTGTTTTAATTCATACATTGACTGGTGACTTATTATAACTCCCTGTAGGATAAAATCTTACAGAGAGAATACATTTGTACTTAGATCAAGAATCTGATCTAAAAAGTTCTGAGTAGATGACCTACCTCTGCTTTTATTAGAACCAGTCCTGGACCATTTGAAATATCTGCTTCTTCTGCTAGTCTGTTGGACCTACAAAGGAAAAAAAGATATCAGTCACAAAAAATCCCTAACAGGAAGCAACAAAGGACTTATTAACTACTTTCATCAGTCTAGTTTGATTCAAATTTTATTACTTACTGAGCAAGTGATAGAAAGGTGTGGCAAAAAGTTGCTTGTTATTCAGCTACATTTGTTTTGATACTATTTCTTTCGGAAAAACTTTATGAGGCATGTACGGAACAAGTTAATTTTAGGTTGACACCTTTTTTTTCTAGGTTACCGTTGCATGCCTGACCAATTAGGGTTTACCTATAACACAACTAGTAGCCTGATCCGCTGCCCCAGGCAAAAACGTTGCTAGATGTGGATCCGTCTACTTTTCCTCTAAAAATATTTTCTCTTACAAGAACATCAGCCAAAAGTAATTTTTCACTTTTTAGGAAGACTGGGTCATAGAATGAGAGACTCAATTTAAAAAATGGAGCACAAAGGTGATCAAGTATCCTTATGATAGGTCATATTTTTTCCGAAAACTAACTAAATGATCTGGAATGAAGTTACAGCACACCTACTTAATTTTGAAGACGATAGTATCACACAGAAATACGCATCAATAATCTATCCACGGAGAATTTAGTAGTGCAGAAGACAGCTAAAGTTACACTTACAGTCGAAAATCTGAAAAGTGGTGGCAGATGGGAAGGAGATAGTGACTGGCTTGGAACATTATTAAAGACTTGAAACGCTGGTATAGTAACACATTCAAAGAACATGGGCTGGTCAAAGCCAATCAACCCTTATACATTAGATAAAGCCACTCACCTGACTTTGCCACTTTCTTTATCATAGACAATAGCAAAAGTTCATACTTGAAATATTGTACAATATGAAGGCTCAGTTTTAAAATATTCCCTTGCAGCTCATTAACCAGAGTGAACACAAGTTCAATAGTTTGCTTGAGATGAGCTTGTGAATGTGTGTTGAAAAACTCTGAGTAAGCTTTTAGAATCTCTTAAAGTTTGAATTTTGCTGCCTTAGACATTCAGCATTTGGACGGTTTTTTGAGGCAACTTTCTGGATGCTGATTTCCTGATTTGACTTCTCCTGTTCAATTATTTTTTGCTTTAGTTAAAAAGACTTACATTTCATCCTGGACAGGGGCATCAATGTTAACACTATCAGTGCCTGGAGATGGTATAAGACAAGTAGTTAGCTCATTAAGGCAAGACATGTTCCTCCGCTGCCGGCTAACTGTGAACAAATATAATATAATTATTCATAATAATGTGATAATGACCTGAGATGACCAACAAAGTTATCAAAGGCTGAAACTGGGCCTAAATCAAAGGGACCTGGGTACTTACGTGAAGTATGGCTTACCTACAGGTAGGGTAACAGAAACTTATTCAGCTCTCACTCAGAATGGTTTTTGTTCATATGAGTGTATTCAGTTCATATGAATAAATAAATGCATTGCATGCGCATTTGGAACAAAGAGTACATAGAATCGTAATGTGAACGGGAGAGCTGGCGCCACTTTAAAGCATTTTCCAGGTCTTGAATTCTGAGACTATTACGTCAAACTAGGTCACTTTTTCGTGCACTGGGACCCAACCTGCAATGCAGACGAAGAGGATAGGAATTACTACGTATTCTTAATTGCCATTTTGGATTGAAAATGTGTCGAAAAAGTGACCGAAGTGACACCAAGCTCAGAACTCATCAACCAGAACATGGCGCCAGCTCTCCCGTTTACATTACGACTCAATGAACTCTATCATATGGGAAGTTTCAGTTTCACACATGGAAATTTGTAACATTTACTGTAAATTTTACAATCTACAGGGATGGTGGGACTCAAAATATTCAAGTTTGACTAAAAATACAATTGTCAACAAAAATCTTGTCTTTGCTCAAATCTGTCCGATTGAGAACTAAACCTTTCTTATAGGATTCAAAAGGGCAAATATTAACAAGCCTGTGATATATGATCAGAGAGGTGTCGTCAGATAAATTGACATTTTTGTGCTTTCGATTGGCAGGCGCAGGCAACGAATTTACGCCTCTGCACAAAGCATCATTCGCTACTATCCACCTTTAAAACATCCTTATACAAGGATTAATAAGAGCTTATAAAACATCCTTATTACTCATGATCGTATCGTAAAACTACTTATCAGTTATGATCGGCAACTTTTATGTGGTTGTGATTTTTGTGGGGCTAAAAATTAAAATGTTACAAAGTTTGAAAGTATTGAAAAACTTATCCAAGCTTGTGTTCTTGCTTCTGCGAGAGTCAGATGTTTTTATGTGGATAGTAGTGATGCAAAAACGCCTGCAAATCGAAAGTAAACAAATGTCGACTTATCTGACGACACATCTATTCCATAACGTAAAGCTCAGAAATATTGTTACACTTGAGGTGCTTGTTATTGCTTACTTCTCGCCACACTTCAGCGTAAAATCTCTTAGATCTTAATACAAAGAATTGGGCCTCATAGAACTCGTATACTGAAAATTAGAACAAAGAATGCTCACACGGTACGCCTGTGATTTTGATTAAGTCTGCAATGCTGCGAGATGATCAACAGATACACAAACTAAAGGCCAAGTAAAAGGCAGTTTCACCTGTTTCACGTATTATCAATTGGCCAGATGCTAAAAAAAACCAGGGATAACTACAAAACTATACACACCACGGGGATCAGAGCTTTTACTTTTTCTTGGCAAAACAATTAGAACTAGAAATAAAGTCAAATTCTTAGAGAATTATTAAAAATTTCAGTGAATCCTACTAGTGCAGAGTAGAGGTTATGTTACTCAGTGTAAACATAGAATGACGTCACAGCGCTGAGGCTGAACGAATGAGAATCTTTCCGACTGGCGACTTGGACGGTCAACCGTTGGAATTCGGCGATTTACCCCGAATCTCCACCGCGGCGGTGCATGTTCGGGGATCGAGCACCTCAACGTTTTCATGTAAACAACTAAGATGGCGGCGCATATTGCGCGGGTGTTTTGAATTTATGGATCGCGGGCAAGATCCACACTTTAAGCGGACTTGAAGCAACCACGTACTTAATTAAAATTTACATTTAAATATTTTTATCAAGTTAATATTAATTCCTGATAGTCGAATGAAGGAAGTTTTCTCCCGTTAAGACAAAAGCTGCAATGTCGCCGTTTATCAATGCATTCTAGGAGAGAAAAAGTAGCAGCCAGAAGAATGAGTCTTGAGCGACCATCCTCAGCATTCATTCCTTCTTTTCAGAGATTTTTTGTCATCAGTTATCAGGGATGTAAAATGAAATCTAACATGATATGAAAGTACACAGATTTCTTAGGAGGAGTGTACACCACCCATAAAATTATCTTATAATAAAATTAAGAGTTTGACTCTTATTTTGTTAAATATTGAGATTTTCTGATTCTACGCATTTCACGGCCTACTGAGCCTATTGCAGAAGTTATACTTTCATGAAATTTTACCTTATATGAAATTGCATGCAATTTTGCATCTCTGTTCATTATGGAACCCATTCAGCAGGCTATCAAGACTGAGGCTGCTTTAAAAATGTAAATGGTGCTAGCAAGAAAGGGGTTGGGCCTCTAGGAGGAACATATTTTTTCAAATTAAAATTTATCATGAGGGTGAAAATTCTCACACATCAGGCAAATAGGGATTGTCCCCTCCCCCTTATTCAGAGAGAGTACTAACATTTTTCTGGGACAATTTTGGTCAATTTCACTGTGAAGTGTGTCAGCAGCGCCCAACTCCCTCCCCGCAGGCACAAGACCTCTCCAGTTAGATTTCCCGGGTCCAGCTGAAATGGCACAGCTACATTTAATCATTCAATCTAATCTTTCAAATCTACGTTAAGTCGTACGTTTATGGTAGACTTCAGATTTCGATACTTGTCTGTTACGCATTTGCAAACATTTGTTTTTTTTTGTAACTGTCTTCAAAACACCAGCGTCATTGTCCGGTGGATTTTCCATCAGAGTCTACACACTTAGACTCATCACTGACCAATTTCTCTGGAATATCTAGCATGAATGGTTAAAATGTAGATTTCACTTTGCAGATAAAGTAGCTGAGGGCCCGAAAAAAAAAATTTCACTTATATTGACTTCATTAAAGACCTTTCTGACCTTAAAAGAGGCATGTGGACTTTAGGTCTGGCTGTGTTATGAGAGGCTGCACAACAGAATCAAATTATTCTCTCGAGATAAATTCCTTACCTCTGAACGAGAAAAGCCATTGATTCAGCTTTGTTCTGACCCCAACACAGATGAAACAATCAGCCCAACAGGCAGCAAGCGTCAAGAGATATTTATGCATTTATCCTCTCAGTTATTTGCACTTGGTCTGGAAAATACTGAAATAATGGTTTATACTGCTGAGAGCAATGGAATTTGTTGGATGTTCGACGTCTTTCGCAAATATTGACACATTACGGCAAGAGGCTGGTGTTACCTTTGATGCATCAACGAAGAGGTATCACAAACAACTTCGAAGTTAAAAGTTACAAAATCAAGCAGCGCTACTACATTTAAATTTGAGAATACTAGATATTCATACCAATTAGGTAATCAGAGACGTTTGGTGACTTTTATACGTAAATTCCGGTGGAAAACCCACTCCATGAAGACATTGGTACAGTGTACAAGTGGAGTGAAACAGTTGCAAAAAGTAAACAAATACTTACGTTCGCGTAACGGTGAGCTTAGCTTATGGAGGCTAAAATGGAACGACTGAAACGATTAAATTAATTTTGAATTATTATACTATAATCGATCGGCACACGATGCTTGGGCATGCGATCGGTCATCGGTAGGCTTGGCTTCGTAAACAAATATGGCGGCGGTCCGTCACAACGTTGAGAGTGCCGAACCCCCGAAAACGCACCGCCGCGGTGGAGATTCGGGGTAAATCGCCGAATTCCAACGGTTGACCGTCCAAGTCGCCAGTCGGCAAAACCCAACGAATGAGGCTTGCAACGCACATCAACCAACGTTTCTAGAAGCTTTCATGACGCCATGGATCATAAACAACAACAACGACTGTGTTTATAAAACGAACTGTTTGTTTATGTTTTGGGTTAGTTGAAAGTGTGACATTCGAGGCGTTCCTGCGAATCTCCGAAGCGATCTCTTTTTGTGATTCTCAGCTGTGTTCCTCAAATTATTCTTGCATCTGATTTTTTCTCAATCAAAATGAGGTTCGAAAAGAACCACAGTGCTTTTGTACTGCTTGGCCTCTGCGCTTTCGTAGCGGCAGCCAGTGCTCAACTTCAAAACCACCACTTTTGGAAAACCATCGCAAATGGGTAAGTCTCACTTTGAATCACTAACTACTAAAATTTTTCTCCTGTTTATGCACTTCCCTAATTTCATTTCCGGGCAGTCATCACAATTTTTGCATGAAATATGCCAGATTAATGTGCAATATTACATCCCACCGGAAAGTAGTTAACCGGTAGGTAATCTGTAATCCCCGCTGTTTCTAGGTATTTGCTCTCATGCAGGTGAGCACAGTAGTAAATACCCATATTGATCATGGGTTAAAATGCCTGTATGATGCCAAATTATTTCTTCAGTACTGTGAACTGTGTATCTTCAAATCCATGTCTGAATTACCATAAATGTAATTTCAAACGTTCCAATTTGTTTTAGCCTAATCTATCAATTAATACATCGGTAGCATCGCAAGTCCCATTTTACTTATTCTCTGATGTAGGTATTCTGTTTAAGAATTCTGTTAATTTTCCGTAACCAAATTCAATCAAACCTCGGCTTAAAATAGAGCGGAATTTCTCTTCGGGAGTTTGTGAGAAGATAAATTTAAACTATGCTGACAATTATGTAAGTGTCACTCAAGTACCTATTTGTTATTGGTAGTGAAGGATGGGATTAGATATGTCTAAATTTGCCAAATCTGTCAAGGGTTAAAATTCTCTAAACCCTCCAGAACAGTTGTTATAGTATGAGAGATTAAGGAAATTTATGGCGTTTGTAATTGATAAACTTAAACCAAGACTAAGTTATGAGTCTCTACAATCCAGCATGCAACCTGATAAAATGCAGTGAAATATTTAATGGGAATAGGATTCCTACAACGCCTGACACTGTTAGTCTATTTCAAACCGAGGAATAGAAAATCTATACCAGCTATCCACAGTTTCCTTTCCCTCATCGGACTTCACATATCCCTAAGTACATGCTTGTATTTCTATCGACAAAAGTACTGCGTAGGAAACATTGAGCATTTTCGAACAATCAGAAAAAACCAACTCTGATGGTGTAAGCCAACGACAGAGCTATTTGGTTTGTCAAAGAGAAATTCCGGTCGGAGGATCAAAAGTTTGATTCGTGAGACCAACCCTTCCATTGAACCGAACTGACAACAAGTAGTTCGATCCAACGAACCGAAATTTCGCCTTATCAAACCAAATGGAGATGTTGCATGTGTGAGGAATTTGCGATTTGACTGTTGATTCTTACGTAAAAGTTCGCGAGAAACACTATGGTGCCACTGGTTTTCTCTGAAATCAACTTCCAAGCTCAAAAAAAGCTCTCAAGTTGAGGCCAAAATGGAGGGGATATCCCACGCTATCCTGAGAGTCCACGTCTATATCAAGACAAACTCTCCATGCAAAGATAGGGAGCAAATACGTTAGCAGTGATGCCGTGTTTTCAGTTTTAGAGTCCCCAAATAAAGTGGCAGCCCTGTCAACGTATTTGCTCCCTATCTTTGCATGGAGAGTTTGTCTTGATGTAGATTAGAGTACCTGTATAGCGAGAGTATGGACAGATGTGAAACTCCGAAAGTCCATCAGGCCTTCACCGATGCTTCTGCGAATAAAGTTAGGGCACAGAAATGCAGCCAACCTATGAATTTCAATTATCCAGAACGATTTACTAATACTATTGTTACGAACCGTCGTTTATTAAGCACTGTTTGACTCAGTTTTTGCATAAATTTACTCAATTTTGCGGAAGAACGCTCATTTATGTACATTCTTGGCCATCTTGGTTAGAATTGGAACCTGCAGACTGGCAGTGAAATTTTGTGCGTTAGAAGTTGGTTAGAAGGGTGGCTGCACTTTTGGGCCCTAAGCCCTCCATGAAGCGATCTGTCCATACTCTCGCTATACAGGTACTCTAATGTAGATGTGGACTCTCAGGATAGCGTGGGATATCCCCTCCATTTTGGCCTCAACTTGAGAGCTTTCTTTGAGCTTGGGAGATGATTTCAGAGAAAACTAGTGGCACCATCATGTTTCTCGCGAACTTTTACCTAAGAATCAACAGTCAAATCGCGAATTCCTCACACATGCAACACCTCCATTGTCGATACGGAACACCGAAAATTCGGCTTACACGACCGAAATGGTTTGTCAATGCAAGGGTACTCCTGAGAAGTCTCTTCTCAAGTAACATCGATCCAACTAGCTCAGGCTGTCGGACCTCGGTCCTCGTTTCTAAGCGTCGATAGCAAGACGAAGGAAAAGAAAGGAGATTCGACATGATTTCGGTAGTTGTTTGTGTCTGCTTGTCCGGGTCTGAGCCAGGGTCTCTACGCTTGGTGAGATGAGCGAGGTGTCCTCCGAATTCGAGTTATCAACGGGAATCTCGGGACGGCCACCGCGACGACGCGACGAGACGCGACTTTTCTCATCGCTCGAGCGGTCGCGGGCAGGGGCCCAGGAATGTGGAGAAGAAAGTGTGGAAACGTCCCAAGCCCCAAGGTTGCCTCCAAAGGACGAACGGGAGAACGAGGCTTCTATCGATCTCTAATAACTTCAGACCTCGTGTCCAACGATCGAGGAGACGATAGAACTGTCCATTCTTATCAGTGCCCCCAGCTCCAAAAAAATGTCGACCTGGAAGTCATGATGAGTACCAGGGTGTCTACAAGTCCGGAAAGTACGGAAATAGTACTGATTTTTAAGGGCGGCCCGGAAGCACTGAAAAAGTGCGGAATGCCGCATGAAGGTCCGGATTTTTTTCATTTTTTTAGGTAATTTTTGTCGCAATTTCAGCGAGAAATTCAAATTTTTTAAATTTTTCGAATTTCGTCAATTTTAGGTACTGAAAAAGTACCGAATTTTTCTGTTGAGGAGGTACTGAAATGCTTGGGAATGAGCTGAAAAAGTACCGTAAAAGCACTGATTTTTTGCCAGTCTGTCTTAGTACACACCCTGTGAGTACCCAAAACAAGGTTAAAGAGTGGTTTCCGCTTAAGCTCTCTTGACCAAAAAGAAAGGGGGGGGGGGATATCCCTTGTCGTGTATAATACATCGTTCCTGGACGAAGAAACGTAACTCCATTCCAAGATTGCCAAATTGATTAAAACAATTTGCTTTTACTATTTCCGTTTTGGGCTGCCTGTGTACCTTTGTCTTCGTTCGTTAACGTTTTAGACAATTTGTAAAGATGAATCTATGGCGAGGACTTAGTCGAACATTTCATAAAAATCGGCGAGCAGTGCTCTAACTTGGATTGAAATGTAAACTCCTAATTTTGGATAGTAGGGGGGACAATGTTTTCTCTTTTCATGGCTCTGTTAAATTCACGCCAAAACATGTACGTTCTCACCTGCGAAGTGAACAGTGTACGATGTTCCGTGTGAAAAGGCATTTAAATTACTTTTTAGGTGTCCTCAACGATGAACAGAGAACGTTCGCGCGTCTTTTCCCGTGACTGTCTCCAGCTTGATCTCAGAGTAATTTGCATCATGCTCAGGTTAAAGCTAATGGATATTCGTGTCCATGTCCACTCTCTAATTGAGAAAAATGCGAAGAGTCTTATGGAATATCCGGCCGGGAACGAGAACAACACTCGGGATTCGGAAACCGGAAAGTGGGTCGCCTCTCCCTCTACCTCGGGATCTCGGATAATAATTCGTCTCGCGTACCACGACAGTCCTTTAAGCATGCAACTTTCAAAGTTTTCGGCTAACGTTTTCCGCGCTGCACGGAATCGGTGCTTGCAACTCGTCCGCGTTTCCTTAAGCCACGCTTCCACAAGCAGCGAGCGACGCGACGCGAAGCTGGCCGCGCAAGTCGACTGCGCGACCTGGTGCAGTGATTAAAATTCATCTGTTGCTACTCTAGGTTAGAGTCCCTTTATACTGAGAGTCAAGACAACACCCCTCATGGAGTCACAAACGGGAATAAAGACTACACAAATTGAACGTTTTTCGTAATCTTTGATCGACTCATTCTTAAATTCCTTTCTCCGTTCCTTCTCTCATTCCGTTTGTTCCTTGTCGAACCCGAAATTCCTCGGTCCATTCCAGATTATAATCTTTGCAATCGGTGAAAATGTAATCTTTATTCCCGTTTGTGACACTGTGAAGGCCTAAAATACGGGAACCAATCAGAAATGGATTCGCATTGTCTTGACTCTCAGTATAAAGGGACTCTACTCTAGGTCCAAGTGACTTAATTTATGCAGAAATAACCGTTAAATTCGGCATCAACACTGAAAATAAACCCCCAGCCCTGGAAGCCGTACTCACAGGTTATACAGCCACACCGTCCGGGCTCAGAGGCTGGAAGTTCCGGGCGTAGCACCCGGAGCAATTTAAGCAACGGTTCCAGCACCCGCAACTTTCGGCCTTGAGCCCGGAACGGCCGGTATGTCTACGTAGCCCGTGATATATTTTTCCAGTGAAGATTTCCTCTTAAATCAAGAATAACATCGCACGAATGAAACAGGTTCCTGCTTGAAATGCGCGACTCGCTTCCTAACGTAGAAGTAACTTTTCCTGTCGATGTAAGCATTGTTATTTTTGATTCAAGAAATTATCTTCTTAGCTAGTGCTAGAATACTATTTTTTAGTGGCATTGACACGGCGATTCGGGTCGCCAACTCCTGTTGAGGCGACGAGTTTTATGGTTAATCGACTGTGGTATAGATGGTAACAGTTCATTCGTCTTGGTAACGATGTTGTATTGTTGCAAGGACAAAAATAAGTGTTACCATAATAGTAACAATGTACCTGCGACCAAGTGCGATGCTCTTATAAGAGCAACAAGTCATTTTCCTCCCTGCATAGCGCGGGATTCTGCCGATTTCAGTTGTTTAAGCCGAAACTCTTCGCTAAAATCCCAAAGTGAAGCTGCAAGTATCCGAACGCGATCATCAATCTTTTGATTTGACAAATCGAATGCAATATTTCGCACTCATGATATTCTCTGGTTTTTTTAAGGGTTCACAACTAGATATTTTGCTAGAAACAGCTAAAATGTGCCATTAGGTGTAACTGTTCTTGTTTTGCCAAGAAAAAAGTTCATTTACTTTCGTTGTAGCTTCACCTCAA